TTTGGAGTTTTTTTTTTTTTTTTCGTGTGTGTTGGCTTGAGAGATCCCCTCTTTGGGGAAAGTGCACCACTAGCCATTATTGTTGTATCTATAGTAGGGTATTGTAGTATTGGTTTTTGTGACTTTTTGAGGGTGTTTTTGTAATTTTAGTCTCGTTGATTTTGGAACTATGTGATTATACATGGTTTTGAAAGTTCTATGATGGTCTTGTTTTGATCATCAAAGCTATTTGGACTCATAAGATTGTGTAGAGAATTGTACTAAAGTCTATGTTTTGAGTGTTATTGTAATTTTAGTCTTGTTGATTTTGAAACTATGCAATTCTATGAGGTTATGAGATTTTATTTATTATGGTAGTGTTATTTGGACGTATAAAATTGTGTAGGAAATTGTATCAGAGCCTAAGTTTAGGAAAATGCTAGCAATTCATATTTGATCCTCTTTTCAATTTTTATACATATGTGAAATACTAAGCATGTCCATGATAATTCATACACAATCACAAAATATAAACAACAAAATTTTTCCTTCTTATCTAATTATAAATATTTCTAAACTTTTGGCTCATTCAAGTCATTTGGCTTTTGTATGATTCTAGGCTACTAGTGCTACTACTACTAAAAACAATAAGTACAAAAAAACATATGTTCATATCGTGAAACCTTCTCCGAACTAAATAAAGATTAATACATAAGTTAAATAGTCATTTTACATTGTTCAGTTGTGCTAATGATGAAAGTTATAAAATGCGTTATGTTCATTATATAACTTATGATTTTAAATATTACACACATACAACATATAAGAATTTATTTGTATATGTGCATGTGCATAAGATCGAATACTAGTATTGGCCACTAATAAACTTTAACGTGATATTAATTCACCATAATAAACATTCTTTTTTTTTTTTTGGTCGGTTGACAAAGAATTTGATCAAACTCGGTTACTTAATCAACTCAGCCTTAATTGGTCGACAAAGACATTGTTCCAGTCGGAGTTACTTAATTTGATTTGGCTATTATATTTTTGTTATTTAGAAAATATAAATTATATATATTCTATAAATATTAATGATAATACAATATTATTAAAATTTTAACATATTTATAAGTTAAAAATGTTAAAATTTAAAATTAATTACTCAATTCAATAACTGACGTGGTGATCGAGAGGCTAGCCCAACCAATTTACCTAGTTGGATATTAAAAATATTAATAACAATATATAAAATAAATAAATAAAATATAATATCAAGTACTATTTTATATTATTTATTTATATCAGTGTTTTGAGACCCGGACCGGCCCGGAGGGTCGACCCGGGAACCGGTCGACCCGGAGTCGGAACCGCTCAGGGTGGAGTATTTGGACCGGGCAACCAAGGATCCGGTCAAAACCTGGCCGACCCGACAGAGACCCGGCCGACCCGGGGTATTGACCCGGCCGGATCAACCCGGTTGACCCGGTCCATATATATTTTTTATATTTTTTTTTATTTTTTTTTGTTTTTTAAAAATAAAAAATATGTATATATGTTTATATGGTAAATATTTATCATGAAATACATATTATTAACACTTAAATATACAAATTTTATACACAAAACATTTAATTTGTTACTTTTATGTATATTTATATAACAAAAATACTCTATATATAATTTAAAATTTTTAAATTAATTATCCGGTTCAGCAATTGACCCGGTGACCCGACGGTTGAACCGGTGACCCGGTGACCCGAGGACCTGCCCGAGTCGATCACCGGGTCGGGTTTAAAAACTATGATTTGTATTACAAAATTCATGTTAAATTAAATATATATTAATATAGGAATACTCTGTATATGCAGCCAATAGAAACACTCCCAACGGAGAACGAGAGATGGCTTCCCAACCCAACGATCCTCGGCTCCCATCGGCGGCGCGGCCGTACAAGCCGCCGGTCGTCGCTCCGCAGGACGCCCCCATCGATTACTCAGGTTTCGTTGCCGTTATTTGTGGCGTCTTCGGCGCGATGTTCCGGGTGGGTAATCGGTTTCACTTCCATCTCCGATCTGTGTTTNTTTTGGGGGAAAAAAAGAAAAAAACCCAAATCGAGATTGAGCTGAGCAAATCTCATAGTATCACATCTATCGAATTTTTATGTATTCATTTATTTTTAAATTTTGAGGTGTAATCATGGGTTGTTGATTGCTGAATCAAATTTTGCAGTACAAGGTCTGCTCGTGGCTCGCTGTAATTTTCAGTGCACAATCGCTTGCTAATATGAGGAACATGGAGAATGATCTGAAGCAGATCTCAATGGCCATGATGTAAGCTCCAAATTTTATTGCACAAATGCCTCTAGAAATGAATTAGTATATGTTGACTTGCAGCTTGTGTTTAGCTGAGAACTATTAAATGTGTTTGATTAATAACGATGAAGGTTCTTATGGTGTCTCTTTGGACCTGTTAATATTTTTGGATTCGTGGGTTCATTAGCCTGTGAGCTATGTGTTTTTTTCTTGGTCATGCATATTCTTGAACTTAGAAGTTATTTCGGTAACTTATGAGATCTTCTTGCTTTCTTGTAGGATGTTTTGAGAGCCGATAAATTATTATTTGTCTTATGAATGAAAATAAAGAAATAGAGTTATGAATCAGTATGTTAAATTGTGTAATGAAAGGGAAATAGCTTATAAGATACTATAGAATAAGTTGGACCACAAATACTTGCTTACTTAGGAGCTTACGAGCTTAGTTTTACGTCTTATAAGCTCTTTAAAACATTACGCTCTTAAACATCGTATAAAAGTTTTTGCGTGCTTATGATAGACCTCTGACAAATACTTTTATTTTGTGGAAAAAGAAGGAAATCCTTTCTTACGAATAATATTTGTTTCTCCTATGTAATGGAAATAGATATCTTTGCATTATGTTTACATAAGGTTTTCGTTTGGATAACAACATTGTTAGTAAAGCTACTGGATTTTGTCATATCCACACTGAAGAAAACATCGAAATCCAGCTGGGTGTATTTTTCGTTTTTCACATTCCTAACTTTAACTACCTCAACCTTTGTTTTCCCCCCTTTTCTTTAGGAAAAAGTGCCGCTGGTTACATAAAATCATTTAAGAACATAGGATATATGTCACATTAAAGTATTTGATTGATTGGAAAAGGTGTATGTTTTAGCAATCCCCTTCTTGGATTGATTTGAAGTCCTTAGTATGTACAATTGATGTTCATTTTACGCCCTACTAATCTTTTCTTTTTGTCGGATTACAGGTTTGGAATCATGGGATTGGTGACAAATTACATGGGTGTGGGGCCTCGGCCGAGCCCCAAAACTTAGCAACCTTAGATAATGGATTTTCCAGTGTTGAAATCTCTCACTTTCTTGCTCTTGTTAAAAGGTTGCAGTTCACATATTTTGCCCATCTAAGAAATCTAAGGCCATCATATCCTTTCATTTTAGTTTCAATTCTCAAGGTGATGTAATTTTTTTGTAATAGTAAGTTGGACCGGATAGGACATGTTTGTTGTTGGTTGAACATCATAATCTAAGGTGGATCACTCCAACTGGTTTTCTTGTCTTGAAATCGGATTTTACCTTTCTTTTATCCCATCTTTTGCTCGACCTGCGGTTGTGAAACGCTTATAGTTTGGCTACGACCAGATGCGGGCCCCACTTTCGTTCGGGTTTTTCGTTCTTGGAGTCATTTTTTTTTTTCGTTTGCGTTTTCTGTAGGCAGAATGAATTTCCGTACTTTCGNATAGTTTGGCTACTTGTATAGAAATGCAGGATCATGCATTTGTTTGCAGTTTGTGTTCTGTTTTATCATGCTTTATGCCAAGTCCCGGAAGTTCGATCCTACCCTATGGGGCACTGTCACCAAGGGGTTTTTACTTTTTAGCCACAAATTTCATTACAATTGACGATCAAAGAACAGTGAATACCTCCCGGAATTCGGACCCAAGGGGCGAGGTCCTCGCTCGCTCTTCCAAGTTAACAAACCACGCTTTTGGATTGGACGTCATAACCACGTTTCGGCTTTAATTAAGCCACCAATTTAGCAGAGGTCAATTACATCGAGCCTTACCTTCCTATTCCCTCCTGGGAACCATCGAGTTGTAAAGCTCGACAATCCCAAGGACCTAATCCCAATCGTCCACACAGTCGGACCAAAGACTTCCTTCAGTAGCTCTTCGCATCTCTCGTGGTCTTTTCGAAGCAGATATTTGTACGCCCTTGCTAAATCAACTGCTCCTCCAGAATGGCAGTCAAATTTGCCGTGAAGTCTAGAGATGCCCCCTCATGTTCGATTTTCATTCTTAATACGTAAGTGGTGTACAACTATAATACTCGTATAAGTACATCGATGCGTGTGGGTGTAGGGTTGGAAAAAAACTTTTTTCTTATGAAGGGGGGAAATGTAAGATGATATCAATCAAATTTCAAGGATGTTTTGCAATTTCGAAACTCCTCTGGGTTATCTTTATAAAGGTCCAAGTCTAAAGTGAAGTTGGTCATTAACCCCAAGTTAAACACAAATTCATGCACGAGACTGTCTAACCGTTATGCGGACAGATCAATACATACTTACACTATCAAATCAAATGCCATAATTCTGCTTATATCGCCATAATGAAAGTACGCATATTTGTTATGAAAATCACCCCCACGATCTCACACAACTCACATAAACAAGGGCCACAACACACAACACACAACACACAACACACAACACTGAAAGGAATCATTCAACTGCATCTCATTCTCAATTAAATCAAAATCCCACTCCTCACGTAATTACATATAAAAATGAGAAATTTGGTGCCCCTTTTTTAGAGCGCTATCAACTGCACGATTACTGTCTACTTCTCACGGGCACATGTTGGAGCCTGTTATTAGCCGAATGGGATATAAGAGCTCCAAACAGAGCAGATACCCCAACCCCAACAATAAATGAAGGCATATGAAAACCCGAAGGTTTTATGTTTTTGTTGTTCATGATGTCCCAATGCAATGTAACATCGTCTAGATGCCATAAACTCATGTGAAGCCCAAGAGTCATCTGAAGATCCTCATCGTCTTTTGCCTGAAGAACTTGCAAACACATCGGGCAACTAACTGCTGAATTTTCTCCTTTTTTCAACGAGATGACTCTACTTGCTACTGCCAAGGCTTTATCTCTTACAGATGGTATAGTGCTAGAGTTGGTGGGGCTAGAATTCTGGAGAAGAAAAAATCGTACAAGTGAGAAAAAAATCCAAACTAACAATTTTGTTCGGTGAGAAAGGAATAGAAGAAGGGAGAAAATGTACCTTTATCAAATTAGAAAATCGCAACCACATTTCTTTTGGAGAAATCCTCATTTTTCCACAATTAGTTCTAGCACCCAACCAGAAAANCTGTAGTGAACGATTCGGTTAATTGCCTGTAATATCAATCATTATATTGCAACAAGAAAGAACTGTTAAATAACTTACCAGCCAAAGTACGAGACAAATAGGCTTAAAAGAGCAACTCATGCATATTAACACGACATCAACTAGGCTAGATGCTCAAATAGCTTAGTACCAGAAGAGCTACCTTGATTATCGTGGATGACTAAATTTTTGGTGAAAGTTAGCAAACAAACTGAAATCGAGAAACTAAGTTTTCCCGTCTCGAATTTGTTTATCTGTCCTTCGAGAAGAAAGATTGCGTGTTTCTTTATTTGTTTTATCGATTTCAAATACCCAAGAAGAAACATTTGCAAATTTAATACAAAACACAAAAATTATCAGTTTTAAGCAGTAATTCAGCTAGCACATGCTGAATTCAACTAAACCCTATGCAATCTGCAATCCTACCTGAAACCTTACTAAACATTGTATCATAGAATATTACAAAAGTGGCATAAAACAATTGATTATGATCAACATCAAGTACACTTATTACTATGTGTTTTCTGTCCTATTTCTTTTTTTTTTCAACCACAATTTGNTTCAAAATCAAACCCAGGACAGAAACTTTCACATTAATTGCACAACAAATAAGATTATCCCCAATCTTGAACTATAAACAACTAAGATTTTTTCTGTTTTATTTATTTTTTCTTTTCTTAAACCACAATTTGCCATCCTTTCTGCTTTAATTCAAACGCAGAACAAGAATAAAAACAGCATCAATTGCACAGACAATAAAATTATCCAATGAAGAACTATGAATAACTAAGAATAAACAGTGCACCTTCTCCCAACCCTAAATCAGCTTGGCAAAAGGAAAAATCACCAATTGCGCATATGGTTTCGATTGCATATACACATTAATATGTATCGTCTTCAGTACGAAGATTGGTAATCCGACAAATTTACCTTAAGACGACGAAAAGCCTTTAAAGTTGCAGTCTTGCAGAGGGAGATTAAGGCGAGGAAGCTGAATGGGAGCTGAATGTTTGTTTATAGGAAAAGGGAAAGTAGATTTCAACGTGCCCCGTTACTAAAGATTCAAACATAAGCAACTAGGTTAAGGAAAAATCATCTAACAGCGGATTGAGGATAAATAAAATCGATTTTGATTGGATTTAGTGAGAGAGTTCAACTCGATACAGAAGATTTTACATAAGATAGATGTTATTAAAAATTATAGGTAATTAAAAAAACACATATAATAAATAAATTGAAGTGAAAATTATCTATAACGAGTAATTAAGTCTGTGCAATGCACATATACAAATAAAATATTATATGGCATAAAATATAATGAACAATATACTTGCAATATTAAGGGATCTAAACCAATTAGTTGGTTCAAAAATTATTATTATTATTATTATTATTATTATTATTATTATTATTATTGAAATTATTTATGCGGTTTTAAAATGTTTGTTATTCCATTAGACCAATTAGCTATTAAAAAATTGTTTAATGAGAGAATAATAAAATGATGATATTTATTTAAAAAAAAAAATGAAGAAAAAAATTTGCTATAATTTTTTTATATGTTTATAATTTGCATCAATATTAAATATTATGTGATAAATAAGTTAAAAAATATTATTACAACTTCACTTCATTCCGATTCGTTTTTAGAGTCAATTGCACCAAATCTAAGACTGAACTTCGCTTAATAAAAAAGTAACGACCAATTTAACCATAACTAAATGAAAAAAGAGTGGAAAAATAAAAAATGTCATTAATTTTTGTCCCTCTATATATATAAAATCGAGTGAAGAAAATTGGTGCCGAGGTAAGGGATCACGCTTCATAAGGCACATTGTGTATTGTGTTCGCCTTCTGCTGATTTTAGCATCACATGGTGTATTGTGTTCGCCTTCACAAGTCGAAAGAATAATACCCGTGTGATCGTACACATACAAAAGTAAGAAAAAATCCTCATAAGAATCCTACAGTCTATCAGAAAGCCGTTCGAAATACAATAACACCGAAAAGAACAGAAATAAAAGCCATAAAGCTCCATTTCTAGAAAGTCCAAACTCAGCCCAAGCAAACGGCTTGCTGACCTGTACCAATACCTCTTCAAAACGTTCATTCAGATCTCCCAATGACCCCGAGTTATCGATCACAATATCCGCTTTGGACTTTTTCAGATCAAGAGGCATCTGAGCATTTATCCTACTCTGGGCCTCTTCAGCTGTGGACCCATCTCTCAACATAAGCCGCTTGAGTTGGGTCTTTGGGCTGGCCCATACTACGATAATGGGCTTAGTCCACCTGTCCATCTTGGCCTCGAACAACAGGGGCACGTCAAGCAAAATCCCAAATGAAATGTAAGGGGCCAGTAACCTGAGAGCATCATGGATAATTTTGAGAAAATTTTGATACCGTTATAAATAAATCCATTACGTATTGCCATTCAGAAAAATGAAAAAATCTGAGTGCTGATCTCAAATTTGTACAAATCAGTAAAATGACCCATGCAACCAGCCGGTCCAGCCCTCAAGAAGAATAGAATCTATTTCTGAACAGAAAAAGGTTTTTCAATAGTGTTAATTATCAAGCATTCACTTGAATGAACAAAACAGCTTTTTCACAAACTTTGCTGGATATCACAGTCTACAATGGTAGCAACATCTTTAATGTCTTGATTAGTAAACCAATGCAGAGATACTAAACTAAGCTAATTTCAGATCTCTTTGAAACTTAAAAACAGATCAACTAAAAACTTATTGGAACCCCATTCAAGGCAGTGTTCCAAGTAAAGATCAAATCTTTACAGCTAATATTTTACCAATAATTATATTAACAGCAAGTTATTGAGAGCATAACTGGAATCCAAGCTTTTCTTAACTCGAGCAAGAAAATAAATAAATAAATAAATAAATAAAACGTAACAAAATTACCGATTAAGAAGCTGGCGCCTATCAGAATCATTAAACACGATCTGGCCCAGCTTCAGCCGGTCAACTTCTCCTCCAGAGAGCAAAATTTCATCACCAAATGCAGCTACCACTTTTCTCCATCCACCGGTACCTTTCTTCAGGACATTCTACAAAACCCCAACAAGCAACATAACTAAGTGCAACGGCCGAGGCAAATAATTTCAGAAAACAGAATATACAAATTTTGGAAGAGATAGGGCATACGCGAGCGATGACATCAGCATCGACAACGGGGATACCGTGAGCTTTGAAGAGGTTGGATACTGTGCTTTTCCGGAGCTTATGCCTCCGGTCAATCCAACTATTCTCATCTTGGCCGGGAAAATGAATTCCGGCTGACTTTACCTGCAAGAGTGAAAACGAGTGCAGATATCTGTTGTAAATTGGTTCAAAACAGGGGGAAAAACGAGTGCAGGTAATAAACTCAACTATTTTGACAATGACAATGAGAATGAAAGTTTATAAGGCCTGTCTTTTTATAAATCAAGTCCAATAATATGGCCTTACAATGGTGCTTCTGATATGGCTTCCACAATCAAGGGGCAGGTTAGTCATTTCATCTTTGCTGCTTTACATATATCTTGATCCTAAGTTGTCCAACTTTACTGTCTGAACCGACCTTTGATCATAATCGTCGTGATGGCAAACTACCGATGATGAAAACGGTTACTCGATAATGTGATGCAACTTTTACTATGTTTGGGTTTATTTCTTAATCTAGTGATCAAGGGTAGTTAAGTTTGAACTTTGGAAGGTGTATAGTAATTTTAATAGATTCTTTGTGCATTGCCTTTTCTACTTCTTGCTTGTTATTAATTTAGTTAAAACTGAGAACTTCTGATTTGGTTTGGAATAAGGGGAACAGTGAATTATTAATTTCATATGGCTGCCTTATTGCCTCAGGTTTAATCTAATGTGTCCACAAAATCAATTTTAAGCAGTAGTTCAGCTAGCACATGCTGAATTCAACTACACCTGCAATCCTACCTGAACCTTAACTACACATCGTATCATATAACAGTATAAAAGAGGCATAAAACAATTGATTATGATCAACATCAAGTACACTTATTACTATGAGTTTTCTGTCCTATTTCTTTTTTTTTTTCAACCACAATTTGCCATACCTTTCTGTTCAAAATCAAACCCAGAACAAAAACTTTCACATCAATTGCACNCAATGCACCTTCTCCCAACCCTAAATCAGCTTGGGAAAAAAAAATCCCAATTGCGCATATGGATTTCGATTGCATATACACATTAATATGTATTGTCGTCAGTAAGAAGATTGGTAATCGGACATAATTACCTCCCATTTTCTCGAGGCGAATTTGGCTTTTCGGCTGCTGGCTGGCGATTGGCTTCGATTACCGCCTTGAGATGGTCGGAGCCAAGGTTAGCTGCTTCTTTCCTCTGTTTTCTGCCTTCCCTGGTGTTGGGCGATAGGTTTTTGCCGCTTGTTTCTGACCCTGTTGGGTTGAATGGTTGATGGCATAGTGATGGTTCATGTATCTGTGAGTTGGAACTCGTCCAGGGGTATATGGGTAAAAAATAAATGTATGTAAAAATTAAAAGTAATAAATAGTGAATTTTATTAAAAAACATATACTAATAATTGATTTTTATTATTTAATTATATTGACAATAGTAAGATAAAAAAATTAAAAGGAGATAAAAAAATATATTTTTTTAAAGAGAGAACATATTGAATCATAGATCAATCGAAAAATATTTACTTAGAGGTAAAACTGGAACAAACTTATATCCAATAGTGTAAACGATCTATGATTATGATTAGATATAACAATATCAAGTTAATTCATTGATTTTTTGTTCTTTTCAAAATTGGACAACATAAAAAAATAATACTAATTCGTACGATTATGGTAATATATAACATTTTTGGTTTGACACCTGTATTGTACATATAAAGTTAAAAAAGAAAAAAGAAAACAATACATCATTAGAAAAAAAGTTTAAATTTAGTTATCGACCCATATTTAAAAATATAAATAAAACTACAAATTATGTCATAAAATAAAACTAAAATTTATATTATTATACCATAAATGTTCTTTTATGTATTCTTTTGTAGATTTAGGAAAAATGTATAATTAGGTATTAACAAAAATAAAAATAAATAAAATATTTTAAAATTTATGTTTTAACTGAGATAAAGTATACAAGTATATTTAATGTTATTATAATGTTGAAAACAAAATCTATAGTTAATTACTATATTTCATTACGTTTAATAATACAAAAATTATATACATTAATTTATATGGTGAAGCAACATACTACATAGTTGAAGATACTTGAAAAAATAAATAGATAATCAATAATGTTATGTAAATAAAATATTATTATAGTACATTCAAGCTTAAAAAAATTCAAAATCAAATTTATAGAGGTTTAGATCCTATTTGTTTCACATATATAGCTTTATAAATATGAAAAAAATGTTATCAACGATTAAATGTCGAATACCGAGGTAAATAAATTTAAATAACATCTATGTTGTTATTGATCGTATATTTATTCTTTTATCATTGAACAATAAAAAACATAAATTTATTTAATTCTTCATGTATATTAACACATGTTCATATTTGATTATGACTATTAGGTTTAATAATTACCATAAACACTTTATCTTTTATTTTTTTCTTGAATTAACTTATACTACTCCTACATTTTCTTATTTAATTTATATATTAACTATTATAAACATGTATTCTTTTTATTTTTTAAACTTTATAACTGTTTTATTTGTATTTCACTTTTTATATATGATATATCAAAATAATCATATTTTAACAATCTATGACGTGACATCCGTATTGCATATATAAATAAAAGATAATTTCATCTATCTTTATAAATAAAACAAATTTTATTATCAAGTTAATTTAAAAATATCAATTAACAATATAAAAATAATAAAAATATAATTAATTAATATACTCTAAAATAGTCATTTTAATGTATTTCCTCAATAGACTTTGGATAAAATATGAAAATTAAGTATTACATAAGTATGTTTTATATTATCGATTTGAATAGATTATATAAAAAAATGAATGTTATTATGTTGTTTAAATTAATACATATAAATGAATATCATAATTATATATAATAAAATAATTTTATATTTCATAAAGTTAAAAAATAAAATAATACATTTATGCATAAATTAATATACTAAATTTTTAAATTATATGCTTTCGAAACACTTAAAAATTTATTAAATGAGGAAAACTGACTTTATGAATATAAAATATAATAATACTACAATAAAACTTATTTTGTTTAAAAAGAAAAATCAAATCAAATATATGTAGTTGTAAATAATATCAATTGAATGCATATATAATTTTATTAAATTAATTAAAAAATTTATTTGACAAATAGAGTGTAAAAATACAGGCACAATTTAAATTAGTTATCACTTTGTTAGTTATTTATTATAGTTGTAGTATCATCATACATAATTTTAAAATGAAAATATAAATTATTTTTATTTTTTTATTCTAAAATAATTAATATATTTAAGTACCCACTACTAGTAGTCATGATTAATCATCAATTTACTTATTTTATTATATTTTTCCAATTTTAGATTAAAAATGCATATATAAGGTCCAAGGTATTTCAAAAGGAAAAAATATATCATTTTCCAATTTATTCACAAAATATATATAGTATGTATACAGCGTACTATACCTCAGTTGCCCCCTTTTGCTTCCTAATCTATACTCCGCAGATCAGATCCGATATTCACTCTTCAGGTCAGCCATTCTTCTTCTTCTTCTTCTCGTTTTCCTGTTGAATTTCGTATGTGATATGGAAACTCTGCGTTGAGAATGGATGTTTCTTTCAGCTGTTTTCAGCTCGAGATCTACCATTTCAGTTCGAGAATTATGTTGTCAGCTTATGTTGTGTGCTGACAAATTGTTTGTTTCANTGATTTTTGGTTTCTTGATTTCTTAATTTCTCTGTGGTTTTGTGTTTGTTTTCAATTTTCGCATAATTGTGAATCGATCTTACTGTTTTGTTGGTGGAAATGTGAATCGGTCCTACTGTTTTGTTAGTGGAAATGTGAGTCGATCTTACTGTTCTGTTAGTGGAAATGTGAACCGATCTTACTGTTTTGTAAGGGAAAGTGCGAATCGATCTTACCGTTTTGTTAGTGAAAATGTGAATCCATTTTAATTATATAGATATTTTTTCACTTTGTCTTTATATTGCTGTGGAGGGCTTTGTAAACTTGCTGGTGTGTTTACTTGAGGAATTGAAAATGCAGAATAGAGAATAAATAGCAGAAACATAGAAGGGCTTTCTTCCGATTGAAGTTTTTGGTGGAATACTCATTAAACGAAGCCAGGCTATGGAAGTCCCGTAATTGTTATATATATTCCACGAATTTTTTCCCATAATTTTCTAATAAACTTCTTTGATCATACTTGTGAGAGCACAGAGAATCATTTTAGTCAAACAGTGATGTCTCATTTGCTACTTTCTTTTATATTTCATCGCTTTTGTGAGATTTGAGGTTGATTGTAGTGCAGTAACATAAATTGAAATCAGGTGCTAATGGGCCGCGGAGTTAGCTATGGTGGGGGCCAGAGTTCCCTTGGCTACCTGTTCGGAAATGGGGAAGGCCCGGCTCCAAAACCTGCCGCAAATAATTCGGAGGCTCCTCCTCCCATGCAGAAGCAAACCCCAGTTGCTAGTCAAGTGATTCCCGATAAGCCGGCCACTGTTGCCCCACCCGCTGAAGCTACTAAGCAGATTCCAGCTGGCATACAGGGAAACAAGAATAACAACTACTACAGAGCCGATGGCCAGAACACTGGAAACTTCCTCACGGTATGAATATTATCCTCTTGTTTTGGCCAGTTATTGCAGTGTTGAGTAACTATTTGTTTCTTATTTGCTAATTTGCTTTCACAGGCACCCAATTGTTATGTTATGGGCACTTGTTGTCTGATCAACTATTTGTTTCTTCTTGCTAATTTGCTTGCACGGGCATCCACGTTTAGTGGATTGTGTGAATTAGCGTTCAGCTGTTGTTTGTTTGGGAGATGATTCTGCAGTCTTCGACTTCATGTTTATTGATCGTTTGTGTTAGATTGATAATGAAGTTTGTTTGGTTTAGTTTTACTGGCTTTTCGAATGAGGAACATGAATTGTTCTTTGAATCTGGTGTAGGCTCTTGGAATAGGATAGTGAATTATGCACCCTTGTGGTTCTAAAACAAACTTTATCCATTTGGATCGAATGGATTAGACATTTGGAACTTTTTTTTGGCCAAACGGGAACTTATAGACTGTGTTTGGTAAGCATATAAGCTAGCTTATAACTTATTTGATTAGTTTATAAGCTTCTTGTAATCAAATAAGCTTGGTTTGGTAGTACAAGCCTTTTTAAAAAACTTGAGCTTATCTCCTAAGCTTATTTGGGTAGGTTTTCAAATAAGTCAATTGAAATCATTATTTCAACTAGCTTATCAGTCAGATTTACCAAACAGTTTTATCACATAAGCTAGCTTTTCTGCCGTAAGTCATAAGTTACCAGCTATAAACTCAAAATTCACTTAAAAGCTGTAAGTTAGCTTATCACCTAGGTTTACCAAACATAGGCATAATAGCCTCACAAGCGCATATACCACATAGTTGTTATTGATTTTTGTATGGATTGATTATGATACATGCAAACCTTTTCGTGATGACAGGATCGGCCTTCGACTAAGGTCCACGCGGCCCCAGGTGGAGGATCTTCCTTGGATTACCTTTTCGGAGGTGGCAGCAACTAAACAAAATCCAAGCCTGTCAAAATTTATGAAGATGGATAAATATTGCTCGTTGTCTGTGTAGGCCGCATTTGGAAGTTTACGGGTAACATATCTTCGACTTTTGCTCTCGGGACGTGTGGGAATTGTAATGTGGTTTGACTCTTTCTTGTGTTATGAATCAAGATTGTGCTGTGTGCACTGCTTACTTTCTTTATATGTACTGTTGTTAATGGAGATTTTTCCTGTTATTGTTTGAGGTTCTGCCAAATCATTGGTTTCACTTCATCAAATATGTTGTGTAATAAAGTGGATACTTGGGTATAATGTTTTTCATTTCAAAAAAATTGGCTGACAAACTTTGTTTGGGCGAAAAATTATGTTAGGTGCCCCTCTAGGTGGAAATATCCGGCATTGGTAGCTACTGTCGAGGTTGAAAAAATGCATTGATGTGCCCAAAAATCGAAAAAAAAAAAAGAAAAGAAAATCGACCAAATTTTAAACGAACGGGCAAATGTCTAGTAGTTAGGCGTCGAGTGGTCACTAGACGGCCTAGATATTTTAATATAGACTAGTACAGTCCCCGTGCGATGCACGAAGGTATTATCTCGGTCTTTTTTATATGCAATGTTCAGTTAAAATTCAAAATACTTACTAAATGAAAGATCATGCCATTAATAATAAATAAATTAATAAATACAATGATAATAAAATCTATATATTATTGAACACTTCCTTATATACAACGTTCATGGTTTGATTCTTTGGCACGTCATAGTCGCCACAAATTAGGACTTTCAAACTCATTTCTGTTTGTGACACGGGAGACAGCAACATACAATTGACCATTACTAAACACTGGTTTCTTAATAAATAAGGCCACATGCGATAATGATTGTTCCCGACTCTTATTTATGGTCATGGCGTAAGAAAACATAATGAGAAATAATCAATCCAATAACATCTACAAAAATATAAGAAAATGCATCATATTGAAATGTATAACATATAAAATTATTACAGATTTTAAATTTAAAAGAAAATCGAAATAAGAAATAAACAAAAAAATTATAATGTACCAATCAACATGGCTTCATCAATGTTACGAACATCCATTAAAGTTAGAAAGTTTCTAAAGTCAAAACAATACATAGGAAAATCACCTCTCCATTTGATAAATCACCCCTCCATATATTTGATAATCTTGGTTTGACCATTGATAATGATCTTCTTTTTTCCTGTCGTTGATTTATGGATGTCAATATTGCTTTCCACTTGATAGTTTGTCAAGATATAAGCGCCACCTTCTTCAATATCACCGATGACTTTTTGGATATTGACAGGTCGAATTATGCCAGTAATTCGTCCTCCCTACGACATTTCATAATGAATAATTCAATAAATAAATTATAAAAGATGTTGCATAAAATGATGCATTTAAATAATAATAAAAAAATATATTACCTCAAAATCGTGAACGATATAATCTCAAGAACATTTCGGTAAGTGCGTACGACTTCAACTCGTTGGAACATCCTAATTATTCGTAGCTTGATTGGTGGCTTATTGGATCTTTTGATCTCCTTGATTACTCCAAACTCCGAAGCAATTTTCAATGGTGATGTAAAAACTTGTAGAAAAAATTGTTTTGTGGGATGTATTGGATGTAGAATACTTTTGGTTCAACATTGGTGATGATTATATAGTCATGTGTATATGCCATATGTCTGGGAAATAAAAAAATATTTACGTAAGGTATTTAATATGATCCGATCCGATTGTTTTTATTATGATTATGATTGACTTCTAAAAATATGTGTTATCGATTTTGTTAAAATAAAAAAAAAAATGTGGAACGTGATTCACTTGTGAGGGACGAACGAATATTTAGAAGATTATGTAACCAAAAATAATGGAGTTTGTTACAATGAAATTTGGTAAGACTTTTTGGATAGATTGAATAATAATATTTTTATTTTGATATTTTCCTATTTATTTGGACAAATCCAAAACTTTAATTTACGAAATTATAATCTTTAATTATTTGAAACGTGTAAAATTTTCTAAGATAACTTTTATAAAACAAAATGTGATCAAATCATAATTGATTTTTATGCCTCAATATTCCAAATCAAACCTTACAAATATGATTATTTACTATTAATATTTTATTTTTTCAAACGTCTGATTCTCTTAGGTTTATATGAAACAAAGTTCAATCAAATTAAAATTGATTTTTATGCCCACACTAAAACTTTATCAATATGATATGTTTATTTTTATTTTTTTTTCAAATCCACAACTCAAATTTTCGAGAGAGAGAAAAAAAAAAGGAAACAAAATATTATCAAACCTTGTCAAATTTTCGAGAGAGGAAAAAAAAATTGGAAACAAAATCTTATCAAACTTTATCAATAATGAAAATACGTGTTTCCAAGAAAAGCTAACAAAATATCATATTAACGTGTGGGCCCAGTGATTTATCTATCTAATAAATTAGTTAGGAAAGATTTACGTAATTTATCTATCTAATAAATATCATATTAACGTGTGGGCCCAGTGATATTAATTTAGTATAGCATCCGATATATAATTTTTTGTTTGATTTATAACATTAATTTGAATGGAAAAAAAATATGTAATTGTTGAGATATCTCAATTCAAAATCGCAATTTTTTGCCATAAGAATCTTAAAATTTGTTACCAATAAAAATAGATTCCCATGGGATTAATACTTAAAATGAATTAAATTTTGGTACAAGAATCTCTAAATTTGTTACCATAAGAATCTTCAATTTGTTACCATAAGAATTCCATAAAAATCTCCTATGGATTGGAGTTTATCAATATTTAGTATAACATCCATTATTCTTGGAATAATTTTTTGTTTGATTTACAACATGAATTTGAAGGGGAAAAATCCAAAATTGTTAGGATATCTCAATTCAAAATCTCAATTTTTTGGCATAAGAATCTCCAATTTGTTACCATAAGAATCCCATAGAAATCTCCTATGGGATTGGAGTTTATCAATATTTGGTATAACATCCATTATTTTTAGAATAATTTTTTGTTTGATTACAACATTAATTTGAATGGGAAAAAATCCGTAATTGTTGGAATATCTCAATGCAAAATCTCAATTTTTTGACATAACAATCTTCAAATTTGTTACCAATAAATAGGTTCCTATGGAATTAATATTTAAAATGAATTAAATTTTGGTATAAGAATCTCCAAATTTGTTGCCATAAAAATCTCCAATTTTTTTGGGATATCTCAATTAAATTTGTTACCATAAAAATCTCCAAATTTGTTACGATAAAAATCTCAATTTTTTTGGTACATGTGTTTTTTCCTAAATTTCCAATAATAGTAAGTCAAACCATTTATTTTTTTAGTTAAACTTACTATAAAAGTATTTTTCCAACAACCTCTTTATATTACTATATATCTCAATGCTGCGACAAATAAAATATTTTGCATTGCAAAAAATAAAACTTTTTTTTTTCTTTTTGGCATGAGTGATAGTTAAAAATAGCCCCAATCTCAGCAAAGAGCCTCAATTCTAATTAGAAGCTAAACAAAGCAAGTATGAGTTGAGCATAGTACTATACTACTATTCAAGTTTATGTAAACTTGTGTCGGTTTATGTGATCGATTCAACGCAACCAAAACGAGCAACAAGAAAGCTCAACAATGATCAAACTTGTGCCTCAATTTTTTTCGAGTCGAGATCTTAGAATTCTCCGGCGGCTTGGAAGACGTTGAGTGCTTGGACTAAAGGGGTCGACTGAATATGAGGGTCTTTTTTTNAATGACAAGGGGTCAACTAAATATACGGGTCCGCCTATTTTGTATGTCGAGGGGTCGACCAATTATGAAGGCCCACATTTTTTTGACGAGGCCACTTGTGGCGTTGATGGAGGATGAGTACGATGTAGTTGTAGAATAATATGAGGCCAGAGGTATCAAAGAATCTTGTTTTAGTTGAAAAACCTATGATTAGTGAATGGATCTTCGAGGTATCAAAGAATCTTGTTTTACCTGAAAAACCTGTGATTAGCGAATGGATCTTCTATCTATGGCATGTGATGGTCTTCTGTCTATGGTTAACAGGGGTCCAAACACAAATGGATCTCAATTCTTTATACATTTAAGGAGCAACCTTATCTTGATGGAAAATATTTTATGTTTTGAAGCTTGGGGAGTAGCGAGGAGGAGAATGATGGAGATAAGAACAGGATAATGATAAAGATAAGGACAAACATGATCTTTGAAATTTTTAATTTAATTATTTATTTATTTTATTTATTGTTAGTATTTTAATTTTAAATATATTAGTAAAGTTATTTAATTATTCTAGTCTTATTATCTGGGTAAAAATATAATATCATTTACGTGTTAGACAAGATTAGGGCTTTGTAAAAATATAATATCATATACGTGTTATATTATATGAATAAAAATAGGTATTTATAGTGTCAAATGTTATACCTCTGTTTATGTATATATATATATACTTAAGTATGTCATTTTCTAATAAATGTATGCATATTTATATATAAAAAAAAGTATGTTGACTTAATGAATAGGTTGGTCAAATAGTACCTACACCTAATTAAATAGCAATGCACTTATTTAGAAACTAGTGTGTGACCTGTGCAATGCACGGAAAAACAATATTACGATTGTATTATAAATTAAATACATAAATAACATTAATCATGATATATGTATTGTTTTTACATTAAACCGGGTTGGACACAGTCCGACCGAATGGACGGAGAACCGATTTATAACCAGTCTAGTTTGCTTGAATAAGATATTTACTTTTGAATCCGTCGACACCAGTCGGTTGGATTTGTAGAATCGACACAATTTTGTAAATAAATTTTATTATATTTAAAATTATTTTAAATAAAATTACATATTTAAATAAAATAGAGATTTATAAATTATTTATCAATTAGTTTAAACATTTGAATTTATAAATTTTTTAAATATCTAAGTAACACGTTTTGTTTAAATTTATTACAAAAAATACTATATATATGTATATATTAAAATGTTTATAAATTAAAATCTGAACAAACCACAAATGATTTAATAAAATAACTTGATCGTTTAGATGACGGTCTAGTTCTGAGAACCTTATATTTAGTGTACATTAATAAATATTATAATAAAACATTTTTTTGTTCACATAAATATTAATAAAATGATATATAAATATTCATAAATCATTAAACATGTTGTCATAAAAGTATTGTTAATACGATATTTGAAATTTGGACTACATCACATTCACGTAATAAAATATTTTCAATATAAAATTTATATTTAGATTCAATAATCAATTTGGGGTGATCGATCTGATTCATAACTTAGTCACCTGGGACCAACCAAGTTATGTCAAATTTTTTAACTATTTTAAATATCACCTAAAAGTAATTCAATCAACCTGGGTAGTACCCTAATTCAATCACCTGATTGATTCGAAGAAATTTTCTTTAAATATATTTAATTTTATGAAATAAAAATATTTTATGATTCATATAATAAATGTCTACACCAAATGATAGTATATTAAGATTATAAATTATATACCTTATGATGAATTAATTATTTTTACTTTATGCATATTAATAAAAAATAAACATAGTAATTTTAAAAAAATTAAGATTAATCGATTGATTATGCAATTTAAAGAATATTTTTAGCGTTCAATTTTTTCTAAAGGCACAAATATAAAGACCGAGATTCTAAAACTTTTGTTATATTTTGAATTGAGATTTTATAAATATAGAGACCAATATTTTAATTTTGTTCGTTGTTTCTAAGAAAAAAATAAAAATAAAAACATACACACTTAATAAATCTTAGCCGGATTTTTTAAATAATAAAATGAACTATAGCCTGTTAAGGTAGCATTTAATGCTGTATGAATTTTAAAGAAAAAATAAGAAAAATAATAAAACTTACTATTTATAGACTGCATTAAATTCTTACCTATTTTTTTGCTACTATTTTTTAGTAAATGTTAATTCTTATATATATATATATATAGATATAGATTAGCTGATAACGAATAGTTGATAACTGAGCGAGTCACAGATAACGAATTGTATTAGTTGATTTGACTAACAGATTTAATTAGCAATTTGTCAAATAAGCATTTGGTAGAGAGCAAAAAATTATAATGGTTATATTATATTGTCTTTTTTAAAATTATCTCTTCC